TGGAATGTTAACCTTTTGCCGGTTGGGCTTGCAAGAAAAATCAAAATTTTTATATAAGGATGAATAAATCAAGGTTAATGTTCATAGAACCATGACTTCCGAAACGTGTAGCCAAGCTGCTTTAGGTTGTGGTCGTAAGGCAAAATGGTGCGTTAAGGTGTCTAATGAATATCAAATGAAAACGTGATAAATGTGAGATTTATTCACCTTATTTCGTATGGATGATGAAGGGATGATAGTTGATTTTTCCCACAATGATATGACTAAGACTTGAGTTTCTATTGAATACCATATCACCTTGCTTTCAAAAGGTATTACCATCTAAGATTGACTGAGGTTTCAACCAATCCTGGGTATCATCAACACCTACAACGATCTCACTCATCTGATTTTTGACAAATTCAGCTATCATTCCTTTATCATTGCTCTAAAATCTATTTATAAATAAATACCAGGATAAATACTTTACAATGATGTGAGTCAATAGGCCAACACAAATATGAATACGCTCACCATAGCTATTGACCCCAAGGCATGAGGAGTTCGAAAGCCTCTATTACCAGAAATAAAAATGTAATTTAGATACATCTTTTAGGTAAAAATCAACACCGTGTTTTTATTTAAGCCTGTGTGCATATAAGCGATTATTGCTCACTAGCGATACATCTATTTATTTCATTTGAACAGTAAAAGAGTGGCTCCAATTTTATAATGTGTTTCTTGACTTAGCTTTGCATAAAGACCAAATTCTGTTCTCATAGATAAAATCTGTAATCAGTTATTCTGATTTTTTGCTACAACCCTCTCGTCCCCTCTGAAGACCATGCTCTTTTGCCCATGTGCCCTTGCCATTAAATTATCAACTGTGGGGACAATGATTGTATTGAAACTATGGCACTAATTTCACCTTATAAGCTGGCTCAAGCCAGAATCCCACTTAGAAATCCGAGGTTTTGCTAGTAAGATGTTTATATCCGTCAAATTAATCCTTAATAAGGCAGCATGAGGTGATATACAATTGATAGTTGAATTTTTTTGCTAGCGGAAATTCGATAGAAATGTAGGGCCTACACATATAATTATTAGAAAAATTCAAAATCATTTTATGCAAACTAGGATGAATGAAAATCTTATTCAAGTTTTACCGATAGTTTTGAAGCCTACTCTAAGAGAATATAAGTAGCGTAGTCGATTGTAATAGCAAAATTTAAACTTGTCTCCGATAATTCTACTATAGGCTTTATTCGTTGCCACATGAGCAGCAGAATCTAGTGGTGAAATATTACTTTTATCTTGTATCTTTGTATCAACATCCTTCACTCGCACTTCATGTAGGCAAGATCTCTTTCCCGTAACCGGATAGTAATAATAGTAATAGTAATAATAACAATAATAATAATGATGAGGATAATAAGGATGATGATGATGATGATATAATAATTAATCTATCCGCTCATAATGGTGAAAACTAGTTGCTCATAATTTGCTTTTGTCCACTGAAGGTATTTTTTTGTGTATACAGACAGCTGGTAACTCAGAAACGCAGAATCCTGAAAAACTATCCAGCCTGGAGGAATTGTGGCTCACGCATCATTGTCCCTGTCACCGTCACAAACGTCGGCGTCACAGACATCGTTACCGACTACTAACAGCCAACCAAATGAATTGTGCTGCTGATGAATCTACAGGTGATAACACTGATGCACATCAACCCCTTAAAAGTCAAGCCACTCGAACATGTTTCACTTTTCATCCGGAAGCAAAACGACTCCAAAAGCTTCATGAACTAGAAGTTTCTGATGCGCCAAATGAGGAGGTGACTTTAAACGAGGAAACTTTTGCCCTAAGCTCTACTCCTTTGGGTTTTACCAGTACTGAGCAGACGTCTGGATGTTCACGAGATTTCGTCCAGTCGGACAATGCTCTTTTCAACTCTTCGAATCGGGTTGCCCATAAACCACTTCTTGAGGCGCATGGAAGCCATGGCTCTAGCCATAAAGTTTTGCCCAGCTTGCTGGTATATTATTTACATGACGAAGAAGCTATCAGGCCTTACAGGAGTCAAAAGAATAGCAGGGACTTGGAAACTTGCGCAAGAACAGAGGCTGAATTTAATGATAATGAAAATTCTCGGTTACCGTCTCGACAAACGCCAAATTGCGTCGAGATGTTGCTCGAAAACGAAGAAGCAACATGCGTTGGTCGCCTGGCAGAGAAGATAATTGCATACATTCTCTATTGTACAACTTCAGCACTAGCACATTTACATGCCATGGGGGTAATTCATCGTGATGTCAAGGGCAGCAATATTCTTTTAACAAGAGAAGGCCAAGTAAAGTTGGTGGATTTCGGTAAGCTGATTACGGCTGTTTCTATTCATAATCGTAAATTAAAATAATCATCTTTTAATTTTTTATTTATAAGTAGGCTTTTGTGACTACCAGCAGTAAATATGATTTGTGCTGTGTTCATCTTATTTTGTTCAAGGTGGTAAGTGGATTTGCAATTGAATTCTCACACAATGATATGAGTAGACCCTAAGTTCCCATAAAAATTTCGCATAGTTTGCTGCCCCAAAATTTAGCTATCGGTCCACTTATTACCTTAAACGAAATAAGGTAAATAGACTTAAATCATTTTGTAAGTTTGAGATAATCGGAATTAGGTAGAATAAAATTTGTGATAGAAAATAGTCTGTAGAATAAGCGCTCTATAGCTTTTATCCATTTTAATATGGATAATAAAGAGGATGTCTATGCAGGCAGATTCTTTCGAACGCCAGCCAATTTTAAATTCGACAGAATATCTGTGTGATAAAGTTTGCAATCAAAATTTCTTATCCAAATTTATCATCCTACCGAACGATTATGAAGATGGTTTACGCACAATAGTCCAGCTTTGACAAAGCTCCTAATTAAGTATGATCACACCTACATGTTGATTGAATGATAGTGTTAATTTGGGCCCGAAATGGCATTTGATGAGTTATCGTAAGATGGAAAAATGGAGGCTTAAGATCAGTACATTCTATGTAATCTGCTTAGATGGATACTTATTTGCTGAAGTGTTTATTGCAGCCATAGTCAAACTACATGTTTTTTCTAATGAAATCTAGCTCATCATATCATTCACAATATATCTTAGTCATATATTTATTACGGGAAAGTAGAGATTTGATTCGGAAATCAGGATGAACTACTGCTATACCTTCAGCATAGAGACTCGTTTTCGCAACCTGGACACAAAGACTTCGAAGCAAGCAGCTTCACTGCAGTCAGTCGGCATATCATTCATGATCATTCTCAGCCTCGGTACATTCTCGGTGGTCCCATAGGCACTTGATACACAGACAAATTGGGCCCATTTAATTTGCATCCCAGTGCTATAAATGACAAAGCTAGCTAATTAAATCAATCCTGAGGACAAAAACAACAAAAATGTGGCCAGACAGGTTCTATACTGAGAGTTAATTGATTTAGATGAATCTCCTGAGATAATAAGATTGTTAGGGAAACTTTCATTTTGTATGAAAGTGCATGAAAAAAGGATTCCAATGTTGATCACACCAGAGGGGTACGGCTAATTTACGTTGTATTGCAGCCGTTTGGATTTAATACGACGTTCAGATTGGCGCAGCCGACGAGGCATCCTCCCTCGTTTCGGATGGACTTTCCTCCATTATCCAATAGACATCATCAGGGCTGAGACTCACTCTTATAGAATTCTCAGTCGACAACAGGTCAAGTAGACCATCCGGCTCTATTCTACCGCTTATATAAAATCATAATTAAAAAACGAAAATGTATTGGCATAGCTGGATATGGAATGGTTTGGCTAATGAACACGCTACTTTTGCTTGAGTGTATAAAAATGAAAATTTTTAAGCAAAAAGACTTTGGAGAAAGTAATTTGACTGTAGTCCGCCGGTATATCACTTATGATCATTCTCCACCTCGGTACATTCTCGGCGTTTTCAAAGGCACTGGTTAAAAGGACAAGTTAGGTCCATTTTTGTTGAATTTCGGTGCTACGAATGACAAGGCTAACAGATTACACCGATCATGATGACGGCGAATTTAAAAAAAGAGGTATATTTCGCCAATATTTAAAAGGCC